ACTCTTGGGTTCAGCTCCAGTTGTGATCTTGGGGTAGTGGGATTGAGACCCAAGACAGGCTCCATGCTCAGTGCAGTCTGCTTGGGACTCTCTCTGCCTTTCTCCCCTGCTCGCTCGCTCTCTTTCAAGTAAATGAATACATCTTTTTTTTTTTTTTAAAGAAATGAATACATCTTTTAAAAATTCTTTTTAGGGCAGCCTGGGTGGCTCAGTGGTTTAGCCCCTGCCTTCAGCCCAGGGCCTGATCCTGGAGACCCAGGATCGAGTCCCACATTGGGCTCCCTGCATGGAGCCTGCTTCTCCCTCTGCCTGTCTCTGCCTCTCTTCTCTTCCTCTGTGTCTCTCATTAATAAATAAACAAAATCTTAAAAAAATAATAAAATGAGAAAAAAATTCTTTTTAAAAAGCCTGTTTCTTTTTTTTTTTTAATTTTTTTTAATTATTTATTTATGATAGTCATACAGAGAGAGAGAGAGGCAGAGACAAGGCAGAGACATAGGCAGAGGGAGAAGCAGGCTCCATGCACCGGGAGCCTGACGTGGGATTCGATCCCGGGTCTCCAGGATCGTGCCCTGGGCCAAAGGCAGGCGCCAAACCGCTGCGCCACCCAGGGATCCCAAAAAGCCTGTTTCTATAACTCATAAGAAGTATTTATCAGTCTGACAATTCACAGTATGTTAATGTAGAAGACAGTTCACAATCATTTACTTATTAGGTAAGGTTCATATAGGTTAAGAATTCTAATTAATATGTGTGATTACTGCTACTAGAAATAATAATGATCATCTCTGTATGCAAGAAAAGCAGAATGCGTGCTTTCAGTAAAAGAAGTTATGAAGAGGGCAGCCCTAGTGGCTCAGCGGTTTAGCCTACCTTCAGCCCAGGGCGTGATCCTGGAGACCCGGGATTGAGTCCCACATCGGGCTCCCTGCGTGGAGCCTGCTTCTTCCTCAGCCTATGTCTCTGCCTCTCTCTGTGTCTCTTATGAATAAATAAATAAAATCTTTAAAAAAAAGAAGTTATGAAGAAAGGTAATACAATTTTGCAGATGGAAAATATAGTAATTTTGTCCTCGAATGAGAATATTTAAAGAGGGAAATAGAGGACAAAGTTTGAATGTAAAACAGAAAGAAAAAAGTGGTTTGTGGAAGATTTCTGGAAAAGGAATTTTAATGTGTGATCAAGCTGGTTAAGAGTAAAATGAAATTATTAAAAATGAGTTTTAGGGGTGCCTGGTGGCTCAGTCAGTTGAGCCTCTGACTCTTGATTTCTTCTCAGGTCGTGATCTCACGTTTGTCAGATGCAGCTCTGCCTCCAGTTCCACGCTGAACATGGTGCCTGCTTAGGATTCTCTCTCCTTCTCCCTCTGCCCCTCCAGCCCCATGATTGTGCACTCTCTCTTTCACTCTTTTTTTTTTTTTAAGATTTTATTTATTTATTGATGAGAAATACAAAGAGAGAGAGAGAGAGAGAGAGAGAGAGAGAGGCAGAAGAGACACAGGCAGAGGGAGAAGCAGGCTCCATGCAGGGAGCCCGACTTGGGACTGATTCCGGGTCTCCAGGATCACGCCCTGGGCTGAAGGCAACGCTAAACTGCTGAGCCACCCGGGCTGCCCTCTCTCTTTCACTCTTAAAAATAATAATAATAAAATAAAAAATGAGTTTTAATATCAAAAGTCCAAAATTAGAAGTTGGTTTTTCTGTCAAAAGAACAAAGTTTTCTTGAGGCACCTGACTGGTTCAGGGGAAAGAGCATGTGACTCTTGATCTCAGGGTTGTGAGTTTAACGTCTTGGAGTCATGGGTTTGAGCCCCACGTTGGATATAGAGATTATTTAAAAAAAAAAAAAAAAAAGGATAGGGGACATCTGGGTGGCTCAGTCAGTTAAGCGTCTGTCTTTGGCTTAGGTAGATTCCAGGATCTTGGAATGGAGCCCGGAATGGGGTTCCCTGCTCTGTAGGGAGCCTGCTTCTCCTCCCTCTGCCTGCTGCTCCCCCAGCTTTTGCTTTGTCTCTTCCTGTCAAATAAACAAACACAATCTTTAAAAAATAAAAAAGACAGTTTTCTAGATTATCACTCTTTTTTTTTTCAGATTATTGATCTGTGTTTCATAAGACATTGCAAACAAAAGTTTTTCATTACCTTTAAAGCAATCTACCTAGAAACACAAAGGTTCTGTTTGCCTTTATTGCCTTGATACAACCCCCCCCAAAACACAAACCTGAATCTTTTTAATATTAAAAGAGCCAGAGTTTTTTTTATAACTATTTAACTTTCTGTATTTGCCTGCAAAGTCCTGTCACTTTGATTAAATGGATAACTAAGTATTGTGAAAGTGACCTATGATTCTATTTGATCAAGTGCTTTAAAACCTTTTTGATATTTTTAATGAACTTCCCCAAATCAAATCCTAAGTAGTCTTTTTGACCTTGAACTAACTTCAGATTATTTCAGAAGTTTCCTAGAATAACTCAAAGAATTTGTTCTCTCTCATAAAAAGGGAGATATTAAACTAATTAGGTTTATTTGCTATATTAAAATACATGGGAACGTTGTTAAATAAGTAATACTAAACCTTCTTTATATTATGTCTTTATATATGTTCTGGAAATTATGTAAAATTCCTGGAAATCTGATGTGTCCTGATATAATATCAGTGCTTGTAATTCTAATTACTATCTTAAAATGTATGTCACAAAAATAACCAATTTCTTTGTCAATTGCATTATAATGAACTCTCATCAGATCTTTACCCAGGTCATTTTTAAGTCTTTTATCATTTACCAGTAGTTATTGCTATACTCAGATACTTTTTAAAAAGCTTCCTGCAACTGTCCTTTATCTTCAGGGAAATTTATAGAAAGGAACCTGACAAGTACACTAGAATACAGATTACTTTCAGATCATACAATTGAACTGGTTCAGAACAAAGACTGCCCTTGACTCTCCTTGAAAAGGACCAGAGCAGATCCTCCTCACTAGACAGATGGCAGTCAAACTTTAGGGGCTGAAATCTTGCCTTTCAGACTGCTGGATTTGTCATCCAAAATTCCTATCTGTCCATTCACAGTGCCACCGTTAGTGGAAGTGGTTTGTACCCCGACCGGGTTTGTCCTTTGTCTTAGGTGATTATCACTCTCTTGTGCCTATGAATGTTGAGGTGGCTGGGACTCAGCCAGGCAATGCCTCATAGGGTACCTCGTGTGCCCCGAATTTTTTACAAGTGAAATATGACATCTCATTGACTGATTTCCCTGGGTTTACATCTTCAAGCTAGAAAAGACCTACCAGGAGGCATTCACAACTCAGGATCTGCTTCCTTTGGCAGAGCCATACTTCCCTCGTTAAGAGGAAATGTAGGTATGAATATGATCGGGGACGCCTGAGTGGCTCCCTGGGTTAAGCTTCCGACTTTGATTCAGGTCATGGTCTCTGGGTCCTGGGATAGAGCACCACCCCCCCAAGTCTCCCATTGGGCTGCAGGCTCAGGCTCAGCGGAGTCTTTCTCCTTCTGCCTCTCCCCCTCCCACTGCTCATGCTCTTTCTCACTCTCTTAAATGAATAAATAAAATCTTAAGAAAAGAAAAAAAATATGATCAGAAACCTCTCCTTAGCTCTTAAAGATATTGACAGAACCTGTCAGTAAGACAATAGCTGCCCAGCAAAGCTCCTTCAACTCTCCAGCCAAAGTTGTCCTTGATAATAAGCCCCTGATTATCTTTTAGTGGAGCAAAGCGGTGTCTCTGCTGTCTGTGCCAACACCACTTGCTGCACCTGGATTAACACTTTTGGGGAGGTTGACACTCAATTGTATGAGATCACTGAGCAAGTCGGCTCAAAATGGTGACTCCTTCAGTGGGGTCTTTCTTTGACTTAGTTTTTTTTTTTTTAATTTTTATTTATTTATGATAGTCACACAGAGAGAGAGAGAGAGAGGCAGAGACACAGGCAGAGGAAGAAGCAGGCTCCATGCACCGGGAGCCCGACGTGGGATTCGATCCCGGGTCTCCAGGATGGCGCCCTGGGCCAAAGGCAGGCGCTAAACCGCTGCGCCACCCGGGGGTCCCTCTTTGACTTAGTTGATTTTGATTGGTTTGGGTCTTGGAGACCATGGCTCCGAAGTGCACTCCAGACATTGGGGATTATCCTGTTTATAATAATCACAATAATCTCCCTGGTACACTGCACTCTCTCAAAAGCTTTAAATACATCTTCGCAGCTGCTAGCCACCAAGCATGTGATCTCCTGAAGACTAGACTTCAGAGTCTAGAAAAAGAATGAAGTCAGAAAAAGAATGAAGAGGACAACTGACTTAAAAATTATGAACTTTGGGACACCTGGCTGATTCAGTCGATGGAGCATGCAACTTTTTTTTTTTTTTTTTTAGCATGCGACTCTCGATGTCTGGGTTGTGAGTTCGAAGCTCCACATTGTGTGTAGAGATTACTTAAAAACAGTTGTGATGGTAGCCCCGGGGGCTTAGCGGTTTAGTGCTGCCTTTAGCCCAGGGCATGATCCTGGAGACCTGGGATCGAGTCCCGTGTCGGGCTCCCTGCATGGAGCCTGCTTCTCCCTTTGCCTGTCTCTCTCTCTCTCTATGTGTCTCTTATAAATAAATAAAATCTTAAAAACAAAAAAACAATTGTGAACCTGAAATTGTAACCTGTGTCTAATCATAGTCATAGAATGTCTTACATTCTTTAAAAAGATTTTTATTTGTCTGTTAGAGAGAGGAGAGAGAGAGAGAGAGAGAGAGAGAGAGAGAGAGAGAGAGAGAGTGCGCGTGCGCATGAGCGGGGGAGGGGCAGAGGGAGAAGCAGACTCTGCTGTATGGGGAGCCCAACGTAGGGCTGGATCTGGGGATGATTCCCGAAGACAGCCCAAAGACAGATGCTTGACCAACTGAGCCACTCAGGCACCCCGAATACATTACATTTTGATCACATCTCTCAGTTAAGCTTAGAATCTAATCAAAAGGGAGATACTGCTAAAAAGAAAACCACAGCCCCCACATGGAATCACTTATGTTTCGGCCCCACATCAGCAAACCAAGACTTAACACCTAACCTACTTGTAGTTTCAATCCCCCAGGAATGTAACTTCTAACCAGTCCACCTGGAATTACCTGGGCAGCACTACGAAATTTACACATAGACTCCTTCTGTTCCCCTTAGGAGGGAGACCCACCTGAAACAATACCTTCTTTGCTAATAATTCCTTCCCCTGCCCCCTCCTCTCTGCCTTCACAAACCTTTCTTTTTCTACAGCTGCCCAGAGCCTTTTTTTCTTTTGGCTAGGTGGCGTGCGGCCTGATGCATGAACTGTTCCATAAAGCCAATTTGATTTTTTAAATTACTCAGTTAAATTTTTATTGTTTAACATTGCCAGTCCACAAATGTGAAAAAGGAGACTGTCAGAGAAGTAAAATAACTTGCCCAAAGCCGCCCAGACAGAAAGGGGTAGCATATTGTGCTAGTGCAAGACACAAGTCCCAAGTGGGACTGCCCAGGACCTCTCAAAAGCTCAAAGGACCTACTAGTTTTCCAGCCTCTCCAAATGATCCCTGCCCTGCCTGCCCCCCCAATTCCACGGAGCCTTTCTTTGATCCTTTGAGAGCAACCTTGGGAAGAAAAGGTGGCAGAAGCAGTCTTTAAGAGGCTTCTCAAGAGAGTGTGACCTCTCAGACAGGATTTGTAGAAGGCAGAGGAAGGAAGAGGGAGGTGGCCGGTGGAGATGATTTCTGGGAAGCAGTGAGAGTGGCAGAGGAGTGAGAGGGTGGCAGACTCTGTTTAGTCTGTGGGACCACAAAGGAGGCCTGGGGCTGGGCTGGTGCAGAGAATCAGTCACTGGATCAGGGGACATTGGAATCCCAGCCCCTAACTAAGCATTAAGAGGGGTGGGTGGGTATCATGCAAAGGGAAGGAAGCCTCTGAGCACAGCTGCAGGAGGACACTTGAAGCCAGCCATCCGGAGAGGACAAAAGTGCACATAGGCACAGGAAGGATCTAGATGCATTTAAAGTAGACAGGTCCCTAAGCTAAGGGTATTTGGAGACTGTCTCTGACCAAGAGGCTAAAAACCTTGATGCACAGGATGGGTGTCCAGGCCAGTGAGACCAGAGGGGAAGCCACAGAAAGATCTGTAAATGGATGCCTGCTCAGCAATTGAACATCTGTCTTCAGTTCAGGGTGTGATCCCAGTCCTGTGATCGAGTTCCATATCAGGCTCCCTATGAGGAGCCTGTTTCTTTTTTCTTTTCTTTCTTTCTTTCTTTCTTCTTTCTTTCTTTTTTCTTTCTTTCTTTCTTTCTTTCTTTCTTTCTTTCTTTCTTTCTTTCTTTCTTTTCTTTCTTCTTTCTTCTTTCTTCTTCTTTCTTTTTTTTTTAAAGATTTTATTTATTCATGAGAGAGAGAGAGAGAGAGAAAGGCAGAGACACAGGCAGAGAGAGAAGCAGGCTCCATTCATGCAGGGTCTCCAGGATCTCTGTGTATGTCTCATGAATAAATACATAAAATCTTTTTTTAAAAAAGAAGAAAGAAAGAAGAAAGAAGGAAAGAAAGAAAGGAAGAAAGAAAGAAGAAAGAAAGAAAGAAAGAAAGAAAGAAAGAAAGAAGAAAGAAAGAAAGAAAGAAAGAAAGAGAAAGAAAGAAAAGAAAGAAAGAAAAGAAAAGAAAGATCTGGAAGGATAGGTGATGTGCAGTTCAGGGGCCACTGTAGGTGGTTTGCGCTTCTCACTGCAGCAAGAGGCTGGGGGCTGGGATGGGGCATTGGGGCAGAGACTCCAAGGTCAGTAACTGGCAAACCATGGGTCCTTTGATCCTTTCTGTGAGGGCAGTAGTTTGGCAGGCAGCAAGTCTCTAACAATAAAAATGATTTGAATCAGAACATGTTTCAGGCAGGAAGGAACTCACCTGTGGCCACAGTCTTCAGACCTCTTGGCCTCACACCTAGGAAGGTCAGTTCATTTATAGGATCTGCTAACTGGTGTGGGTGTTGGGTTCTTGGTCCTTGAGACACCTGCACTGCTACCTTTGGAGATCCCAGTTTGGGTGAGGGGATGAGAAAGCAGGCTGGGACACTGTGAGCCCCTAACTTTGCTCAGTGCTCTCTCCTCCGATGCTGCTCCTTGGAAGCATACTCCGCAGTCCCCAGGGAGGGATTGTTTTGCCTTTAGCATCCCTGGGACTGCAGATAAATGTCAACAGCGCCCTCTAGTTTTTGTGACAGTCACACACTCTTCCCTGGAAGGAAGGGGGTGACGCCCCAAAAGCTACTGGGACCCCTCTTTGGTACCGGGGAGGTGATTTCCACCCCCGCCCAGATTTTCTTGGCATAGAAACATGGTGACACATTGGCCAGTGGCATGGGCTGTTTATTATAATAATGCCCCCAAATGAGGCAGAGAAGACAGGCCGGGAGGGGTGGTTAGCAGGCAGGTGTGAGCAGGAAAGTGGAGAGCCTCCACAGTCATTGGGGAAGCTATACTTAATCTTGGGTAAAATATACTCAGAGAGAGAGAGAGAGATGGAGAAATGCAGCTGCCAGAAGCTGGCTGGGGAAAAAGAGAAACACTTTGGGCTGGGAGGGAGGGCAATGGAGGGCCTGAGGCTGTAGTAAGCATGTCACTTGGGGCCCAGGTGCCACTGCCTGGAGCCCATTCTATCGGCAAAGACTGCTCAGCCAAGAGCAGTGAGGAGTCTCCCGCTCTTGGGCCAGAAGCCCCAGGGTGGTGGTGGTGGGAGCCAGGCTCTGTGGCCCCTCTATCCCCACATGATTGTCTGCAGCCACTGTGGGGAGAAGAAGAGATCCAAGGATGGGGAGTGGGGGGTGGGCAGGATGGCTGGGGGAGCAGTGGGCGGGGACAGCCATGAGTGGGGGTGCCAGAAGATCCTTTCCGTGTACCTGGTTCAGATTCAGGTGAATATAGCCGGTATTCTTGGGGTCCATGGATAGAAAGTATGCTGTTTTGGAGAGAAGGCAAGGGGAGGGGTTTGGGAGCTGAGTCTGGGGTCTGCAAGACCCACTCCCAAAGAGGTAGGAGGTCAGAAAAAACGTAAGAAGCTATCCCTTGCTGCTTCCCAGCTAGCCCTCAGCCCAGGACGGAATTCATGATAACAACTCATGGCCTTGCTATGAGACCTATACTGAGTGCTGTGAACTCCTGTGTACCTCTGTCCTATGATGGTGCTACTGTTATTGCCCACATTTTATAAGATGAGAAGAGAGGTCAGAGGCACAGAGAGATAAATGACTTGCCCACGGACGCCTGGGTGGCTCAGTGGTTCAGCGTCTCTCTTTGGCTCAGGGCATGATCCTGGGGTCCTGAGATCAAGTCCCACATTGGGCTCCCCACAGGGAGCCTGCTTCTCCCTCTACCTATGTCTCTGCCTCTCTTTGTGTCTCTCATGAATAAATAAATAAAATCTTAAAAGAAAAATAAATGACTTGCTCAAGGCCCAGAGCCAACAAGTGGAGCTGGGATTTGAACCCAGATCATCTGTGCTCTTAAGAGGGGGTGGTTAGGGAGCAGGGCTCCTCATGTGCAGGTCTCTAGCCCAGGGTGGGGAGTGAGCAGATGAATGACTCACTGAACATGGCCTTCAGCCTCAGGAAACAGCTGATGAAGCTGTCAAAATCCACGATCATGTCCTCATTCGAATACCTGGCCACCAGCACCTGTGTCACCTTGTTACTCAGCTTGATGCCTGGGAGAGAGAGGAGAGTGGAGGGGGAATCTGGCCCTCTGACCACTGCTTCCCCCCCGCCCTCAAACCCTCTCTTGACCCCCCTGCTAACCTGCTTTCTCAATGGCCAAGCGCATCTCATAGGAGTTCAAGCTGCCCGAGTGGTCCTCGTCACACTCTCGGAAGATGTCCTGAAGGGAGACAGGTGTGGTAGGGCTGTGTGCGTAGTGTGGTCGTTGAAATAATGCAGTGCTCTACTATAGTTAACCTACAAGGCCCACCCATGAACCCAGGTTGCCTAGTAGTCCTGTATCTAATGACTGGAGGGGGCCTCTGGCAAGGGAGAGGGTTGGAAACTGAGTCAGTGGTCTCAAAGACCCACTCCCAGCTGGGGCCTCCTGCGTGAACCCTTTACACTGGCTGATGCCTGGACTATACCGGTTTCTAACTCTTTTGACTAACCAATGTGCCACCACTTCAACAGATCCTGCCCTGTCTTGTGTGTGTGGTGCGTGTCTAGTCTGGGGCTCTAGCATCACCCTTACTATTACTAATCCCCATCATTCTTGAGGATCTCTCTTTTCCCTGCCATAAACTGCCCTTTCAATGTTTTTTACCGTCCATTTCTTGATTTTTTTCCACAGGATCTGGAACTCAGGAAGCCCCAGCTTGCCAGAGCCATCTTTCTGGAGGGTGGTCAAGGATGCCAGAGGAGAGAGTGAAGAGAGCCTCTTGGGGTCAAGGAAGCAGAGGGGCTCACCAAGTGGGGGCTGTGAGACCAGAGGTTCCTGTGTAGTCACTAGGGTGATAGCCAGAACTGGGATCTTTTGCTACCTCAGAGCCTAATCCCCTCCCAGTAGGAAGGAGGGCATGGCTGGCTAGAGAGAGGTGGCCACCTGGGGGGCAGGCTTGGGAATGGGGGTGGGGGGAGACTGCTGGACAAGAAGATACATCCATGAGGTTGACCATACAGCGGCACACGTCTAGGCCGAAGCCCTGGGTTCTGAAGTTTCTGACTGTGAGGGAAGGAAGGGGCAGGAAGAGAGAAGGAGTGAGCAGAGGCTTGTAGGGCACACGGGGAGTGGTCAAGGTGAGGCACAAGCAGTAGGGGAAAGGTTTCGAGGCACAGTTGGGGGGGGGATTGGAAGACTCACGTTTGGTGACCACTTTGTTGAGCAGCTTCTGTAACTCATACATGCCTATCTCCTTGCCCTAGGAAGGGGGAACGTAAACCCCTGCTCCCGCACGTTCACCCTGTCCACCTCCTTTGGGCACCCTGCCCTCAGCCTCTCACCTCTCCTCCTGCCACGATCTCAAACAAATGTATGAAGTCCTGATCTACCTCATTCTCAGAGAAGTGCTCCTGGAGGGAAAGCAGTGGGAAAGGGTCCCAGTCTGGAAAGTTCCTTCACACTCCCCAGATGCTTCCTCTGATTCCTTGACCCCACAGCGTCCCCTCACCTCTTGGAGTAGCTCAGCATAGTTGGCTTCGTCCAGTTCCCTGAGCAAAAAAATGAAGGAAGTCTTGGGGGTTATCCAGGATCAGGGAGATAGATTTTAGAGGGGTGGTTGTGAGGAGATTGTGTCATGTATCTGAAGCCTCAGGTTCCCTAACTTAAAACAGGGGCAGAATTGGGGGGACCAGATGACTGCTCCAGCTCTTGGGCGGGTGGCCTTGGAGCAGCGAAGCAGGGCTCCTCACCAGGACTCGCTGTGCTTCTCTGTGAAGACCCGAAGCAGGAAGTCAGCATCCTTGTGCGGCTCAAAGGTGGAGGGAATGATGACGTATTCCCCCGGAGGCAGCTGGAGATGGCTGCTCACTTCCCGTGAGTTAGTGAAGATCTCTGAGAAGCCATGGTCCTGATACTTGAGGAAGAAGTCCTTCTTGAAGTGAATATCCTGGACGTTCTGAAACTATATGCCCCTTGGAGGTGGGTACAGGGCTGGCTGGTAAAGAGACAGGGACCTCCAAGGGGAAGCCTGGCTGGGCAAGGCCCACAGGCAGGTAACTCCAGTATGATCTGCCCCAACTCCCACCCAGGGCCCCAGGGCACTGGAATCCTAACCCAGTGGCCCCCAGTGGCCCTGAGAGCCCTAGCTGAATTCCACCCTTTGCCCGTCCACATGCAGCCAGAGGTGGGGTGGTACGTGCCCGGAATCAAGCCCCACGTCTTCTGTACCTCCTTTGGGACCTAGGAAGAGAAAAGACAGGGAGGTCAGAGCCCCAGGATGGTGAAGGGGCTCAAACCTGTTCTGCCGGTAGAGAGAGAGAGAGAGAGAGAGAGAGAGAGAGAGAGAGAGAGAGAGTTGGGGGATGTTAAGGGCACTGGGACACTGGTGGGGGTGGGGTGGGGCAAGGGCTCTGATAGCTAAAAGTTCTAGCATTAAAATCAATAGTCCTGAAGTTTGGGAGACGCCTGGGGGGCTCAGTGGTTGGAGCATCTGCCTTCAGCTCAGGTCCTGATTCTGGGGTCCCAGGATCGAGTCCTGCGTCGGACTCCCCACAGGGAGCCTGCTTCTCCCTCTGCCTGTGTCTCTGCCTCTCTCTGTGTGTCTCATGAATAAATGAATAAAATCTTTAAAAAATAATCCCAAAGCTGCGGGGGGCGGGGGGAGGGGGCGGCAGCAGGGGGAGTTGCCAAATGCAGTTTGTGCAAAGTTTGGCCGGTGGCGGCAGCAGGGAGACTTTTACCACTGCAGGTGAAGGACAAGAAACCCAATCTCAAGAGGTGAGGTAACGTGCCCAACTTCACATGCTAAAGAAGTGAATGGGACAAAAATCTAGGAAAGCATTTTCCGGAATGTGACCATTTTCCATGGAACACTCATAGCTTGCAGGAAGACAATAGGTGATTACCGAAATTGAGCGTTGAACACAAATACTTCTGTAAAAAGGTATGTTAAACCAAGATAACTAGGCTGTTCTCCTGTAGGGATGACCAGAACCTTTCACATGCCGATGTGCTGGCAAAGCTGGGGGGGGGGGGGGGGAGTAGGGCGTGTGATCTCTCCCGAAGGCCCACATCTAACCTTGGAAATATCTGAGGCACATCTGGAGTCTGTTAGCCTGGTGGGCTCACAGCCTAGGAGGAGGGTAATGCTTGCGTCTCTTTTTGTCTGGTACCGAACCAGTGGAGACGGGACTGGGGCCTGGCACGCAGTCGGTGCTCCACGACTATTTGAACAAATGGTCATTTGTAGCATTTTGCAAAACACAATTTTGGAAGTGCCCCCAGGGATTTCCCCTGGCTGCTGGAGTTAGTGCTCTCTGTGGGTTATCTGGGGGATGGTGTGGGAAGTCTCAAAGGGCCTGGGAATCAGGACGCAGCCTAGGGTGTGTGAAGTTGGGCAAGTACCTCACCTCCTTTGCACTCATGTCCTTTCTCTTCACGGAAGGTGCAAGGTGCGTTACTATTCGCGAGGCCTTTGGAAGGGTGTTGGAAGGGGTGAGGCCAGGAGAGGGATCAAGACCCATGGGGGTGGGGTTCCTGCTGGAGCACCCACCCTATAGATGACAAAGCCAATTGTCTGCAGCTGAGCTCCGTGGGGCCGTGCCCGTCGCCAGTTCTTCTGCATTAGGGCCACCAGGCAGGTGCAGATGACTTCATCGTCCTCTGGGTCGTCGTCGTAGTCGTCCTCCTCAGGGAGAGAGATCCTAAACTGGGGGTTGCTCCAGAATGTGTCTATGGAAGAAGCCGATCAGCATGGCTCTGCCCTTCCCGGGCTGGGTGGGCTTCCCAGCCCCATGCCTGTCTCCTCAACAGGGCCGGGTGGGATCTGCTGGGTCCCTGAGCCCCCGGTGGGCCCCCAATCCCCTCACCCACCAAGATGGTTCCTGCAGCCCCCCGCTGTGCTGCCCCGCCTCCAGCTGCCCTCATAGAAGGTGGTGTGCCAGTAGCTCTTGTAGTCTCCAGAGAGTGCATCCGGCGTCAGGTTGCAGATCTCCAGGAGGGTGAAGTTGCCCAGGAAGTCTTGGTAGGACATCCTGTGTGGAGGGGGTGAAGGCTCGAGCCTGCAGCATCCCCAAGCCCCTAAGCTACCCCCCCCCGGCCTCCCCATTGAAGGCACAGGTGGCAGGGTGGCAGAGGACATGAAGGGACAGGGCATGGATGCAGAAGGAAGCCCACCCTGTACTGACCAGAACTCCCCATCCTCCTTCCTGTTCAGTAGCTGCCTCCGGGTGTCCAGGGCCACCTTGTCCCATTCGGAGGCGCTGGAGCAGAGACAGGCAGTGGAGGGAGGGGCTGGCTCAGGAGGCATTTTGGAACCCCCCCACCCATGGGATTCCCTCATCCCTGATTGGCTACCTCTGGGGGAGTGGGCCTGAGTTAGATAGGGAACATAGTGGGGGAGGGGCTGGCCCTGGTCCACCTGCCAGCCTAGCTAGGCCTGTTGGGTACTCTGCCCCTCACCTGGGAGTGCTGGTCAGGGCCACTCACTTGTCACTCCAGGCTCCATTCCACTCGATCCGGCCCCAGGGGTTCCGGACCCGAATCAGTGTTTCTGTCCTGCCCTGGTACCAGACCTGGTGGGAGGGGTGCAGCAACAGGTCAGGGGGGCAGGAGGGATTCTCTTCCTCCTCCGGTGGCTCAGGTGTGAGCACGGTTGGCAGACTCACCTCCTGGAGGTCGGTCACGGAGTAAGCATGCCCTCTTACCAGCATCTTTTGAGTCATGGTCTCCAACTCACTCTCGCTGACGATCTACAGAACAGAGAGGAGGAAACAAATTCAGATGTGAGTAGGCCTGGGTTCAGTGTTTTTACTGGTATTTGCAAATAATTGCAGATTACCATGCAGTTGTAAGAAATAATCCTGGGAGGGGCACCCGGCTGGCTCAGTGGTTTAGGGCCACCTTCAGTCCAGGGCCTGACCCTGGAGACCCGGGATCGAGTCCCCCATCAGGCTCCTTGCATGGAGCCTGCTTCTCCCTCTGCCTGTGTCTCTGCCTCTCTCTGTGTCTCTCATGAATAAATAAATAAAATCTTAAAAAAAAAAAAAAAGAGACAGGACACCTAGATTGCTCCCAGTTTCTGACTACGATGAATAAGGCCGCTGTGAACACTTGTGTGCCGGCTTTTGTGTGGACATAAGTCTTCATTTCTCTGGGATAGAAGCCCAAGAACGAATTGCACGGTCATACAGTTGCACTCTGGGTTTATTTATTTATTCAAATAAATATTTGCTGGGCGTCTATTGCATGCTAAGCAGCACCCTAAGTCCCGGGGTTTCCAGCAGTGGATGAGTCAAGTCACCACCCTCAAACTGTGAAACAGGGGAAAACGGGCTGTGAATAACGACGTTGATAAATAAGACCATTTCAGATCATGGTAAATGTTGAGGGGAAAATAAAAACAAAGTAGAGAGCAAATGATGTTAAGAGCAGCTGGTTTAGATTGGGAGGCAGTGAAGAGAAGCCTGAGGAAGGGGCATTTGAATTGAGATGGAATGAGAAGGAGCTAGTCATGCAGGGATCTGCAAAGAACCTTCTAGGAGAAAGCAACAGCAGGTACAAAGGCCCTGGGACAGGAACAAATATAACTTACTTCGATGGAGCAGCCCATGAGGGAGGATCGCTCTACGGCCTTCCTAAGCATCCTCAACAGGTTCCGAGGGGGCTTCTGGAGTTGGATGGTATAGGTTACACCTCCGGTGAAGTCCTCAAAGCCCTCCACTGTATTGCCCCCCGATAGTGCTTCATAGGACCCATTCAGCCTGCAGGCACAGAGAGGGCACTTTTGTGCTCCGGGATAGAGGTGTCCTCTAGGACATGGGAGGGTGTGGCAAGGGGAGAAAGGGATGCCCTGACCTCCCTCTGCTTTTTCCCCTGATTCCAGCTGCCCCCATAGCTGCCAGCTGTCAGGACAGGCTTGGAGGCAAGGCCAGGCTCGGGGCACTCACTTGGCATATGCCTTCTCTAGCAGGGCACTCCAGAACTCAGTGCGCTCAGCTGAATGCACGAACACCAGCTTGCCGTTCTTTGTGGGCAACCGGTCATCCACCACCACGTCCACCCACTGCCCAAACTGCCAAAACTGTGGGCAGCAAGGTGGACCTCAGTGGGGCTTAGGGCAACTGTCTGCCCCACGCCTTCCTCCAAGGACATGCATGAATACATGTACACACTCCCCACCTCCTGCCCCCTCACCCCCTTTCACCCCCACAGCCCCACACACTCCTTGTATAAGAACTATGTTCCATGAGCACCTCCTGGTGGCCAGGATCAGTGACGTGCCAGTGTCAGAGAGCCCACTCCCCAGAATGGCTCAATAGCGAGGGAAAGGCAATGAAAAGCCTGAACCGCTCCCCCTGCTTCATCTCCAGTTTCTGCCAGGGCCTCCAGAAAGACACCACCCACATTTTGACCTTGGCTGAACTTTCAGGATTTCTGAGGTTTTACAAACTCTTTCGATTCTCAGAAATGTTTTGATGTGGGGAATTTGTCCACATGTTGCTAAATTTAAAGAGTAGATTACAAAAATTATGTGACTGTGACTCCCAATGTCACTGTCTCTCTCTCTCTTTCTCTCTCTCTCTCTCTCTCACACACACACACACACACACACACACACACACACGTTTCCACCAAGAGAAGGAAGGAGAGAAAGAGAGAAGCTGGAGAAGGAGAGCTGCAAACTGATAAAATGATTTTCTTTTTGGGCATTAAAAAATTAGCCAAATGATTTCTTTAGTGAGCAGATATATCTCTGATAATTACACAAAAACCCACCCTAATAAATGTCATTTTTCAAAAAGAAAAGAAAAAAGGTAACTTTATTTTTATTTTTTTAAAAGGTAACTTTAAAGCATAAATAATTCTTCCTCTTCCTCCCTCCCCTCTTTGTCTCTGTCACTCTGTCTCTGTCTCTGTCTCTCTCTCACACACACACACACACACACACACACACACACACACACACACCACCAAATAACTTGGGCTTGCAAATCATCCTTCACCTGAAAATGGAAAATGCCAGCATAGTTTTTCCTGAAGCTCTGCCCCCTGGGTACCACACGGTGCAGCAGTTTGGGGCATGTGGTAAGGGAGCCAATGGCAGCCAGCAGCCAGCAGTCCCCTGGAAAGATAGGAAGGGGGTTGCCTCTCCCTCCCTCCTCTAGGTGAGTATGGGTCCCAGAATCCAAGCCTTAAAGGAGCAGGACTGGCTCTGTGGCCCCTCCCCCACAGAGACGCACCTCCCTTGGCCCTCCCGATAAGAAATGTTCTGGAAGGAATCTAGTAGGGAGAGACAGGGCTGAAGGAACAGCCCCTAGGGGATGATCCTCTTTACCTTTTCTATTAGGTAAGAGAGTCACAAATTAGAGCCCGATGCTTTGGTTTTTGGATTTGGGGAGGAGGTATTTGGCCTTTGTCTTGCTCCTTACCCTGAGATCTGCTTCTTTGGGGAGACAGCTAGTTTTCACCCATCCCTTGAACAAATCCAGTTACCTTCTCCCACTCCCCCTGCCTTCTACTTCTACTCCATGATTACACTGGTGTAGCAATCAAAACATCTCTCCTTGATGTCACCCACATAATACCGAAGCCCCAAGTCTGTACCCCAGCTGGGTCCCTGGGGCTAGGCATTGATGGGGGCATAGGGACAGTATCCCTAGGCTAAGGTCATCCATTTCGATCTCTCTCCTGGGTATCTCGGATCTCACTGGGGGGGCTGTGGGCAGGGTGGTACCCGGAGTGAGATCCCGGGGCTGGGCTGTGGCTGAGGTCACTAGGAAAGCTCCTGTGGCTACCTCCTGGCACCTGGGGGGCCCTTCAGGAATGGCAGAGGGTGGAGAAGGAAGGTTAAGGACACTCCAATCCTCCATTGCGAAAAAGACACCTAAATAGGAAGAAGCCAGTTCTCCTCCTGCAGCTCCATGAGCCACAGTGGCAGACATGGGGCCTGAGGTCACCTGGGCTTCTGCCCTGCCCACAACCTGCCCTGTTCTCTGCCACAAATATGATAGAATCATCCCCAGAGAAAGCCCACCCTGCTCCTATTCCTGAAAATACAATGAAGGCTTTGGAGGAACCCCTCCTTAGGAAGGAAGCTATCCCTTGGGGCTGTCACAGGAGCCCGTGGGAGAGTGGGCTGGGGAGCCTAGTGCTTCTCTATCTGATACGTCAGACTGAGGAAGTTCTGGTACCTGCAGTGGCTTAAAAATATGTCCACAAGCTCTTTGACAATCCTCCCCTCAGGAGGGGGAGCCTAATTCCCTCCCCTTGGGTTTGGGCCAGATTTGGAGCTTGCTTCTAACAAATGGAATGTGGCGGAGGTGACTGTGTATGTTCTCCTGATACTAGGTGGTAAAAGGCACTATGGTTTCCCGGGAAACCGGCAGCCATGTTGTTTGGACACTCAAGTGGTCCCACGGGGAACCCTATGTGGCAGGGAACTGAGGCCTCCTGGCCCGTGAGTGCGCCATCTTGGAAGCAGATCCTCCAGCTCCTGTGAAACCTTCAGATGAACACAGCTCTGCCTCACATCTTGACTCCAGTGTCATGAGACACTCTGAGCCAAACCCACCCAGATGTGCTTCTTACGATTTACTCACCCACAGGAATGGAGATTGATAGATGTTTGTCATTGCTTTAAATCACTGAGTCTTGGGGGAAATTTATTGTGTAGCAACGGGTAGCTACTATGCCGCCTGGCTTACACCCAGACCCAGATAGCACAGGATGGGCTGGAATCACATTGGGGTAGGGCATGGGGTGAACAGACCTGACAGTCTCACTACCTTCTCCTCAGAAGGGGAGGGGCAGGGGAAGAGAAGAGATTATCCGAACCTAGCTCCCCAGCCTTAAAAGATATCTTGGCACTCCCCCTACCTCAGCCTTCTTCCTCAATTCACCCCCTCCCTCCACACAAGCTTTCTTTTCTTTTCTTTTTAAATTTATTTATTTATTCGACAGAGAGAGAGAGAGAGAGAGAGAGAGAGAGAGAGCGCACGCACACGTGCGAGCGCACAAGCAGGGGGAGTGGCAGGCAGAAAGAGAAGTAGGCTCCCCACTGAGGGAATCGTGACCTGAGCCCAAGGCCCATGCTTAACTGACTGAGCCACCCAGGCACCCCACACCAGTTTTCCAGCTCCCCACTCACCAAGGACGCCTTGGCAGATGTCTGTTGGACTGAATCCGTTCACAATGAAGTGAGGGCTGCTTGTGATTTGCTGCAGTGGAGGAATAAAGATCTTAGGGGGCCCAGGACATCCCCCTCCCGACCTCCCTCTCACCATTTCTGGGGAAACCATCTCACATCCAGGTTCTAGGGGAAAACATGGCAGGGGAGGGGAAGGTCACCGGACCGGCCTGGCTTGGTTGTAGGATGTGATAGCAAAGGTCAGTGAGGGACCTTCCCAGGAGTTATCTGAGAGGTTTTTGCTTAAGCATGTCCAGAACTGTCCCCAGCCCTGATGGAGGTGGAGCCTGGCAGAGGGTCAGGATGGGGGGCCGGGGGAATTGGAGATTGCAAAGTGACTAGGGCATCATTACAAACAGCCCTCCCGCTCCCCCAGTGAGCCCATGCCTCCCCTCCCAGTACCCACACCGGGCCGCTGCCAACAGATGTTCTGCACGTTTCTGGAGTTGGGGCCCAGATCCTTGAAGCCCAGGGAACTGGGTTCAGCAGGGAAAAAGGAGTCCTCGAACAGTTCTCCTTTCCTCAGACAGGCTGCTTGCAGGTCTTCAAAGTTCTGGTTATTGTAGTTCTGGGCATTGTGGTGTTGGCCCAAGCCCTTGGCTTTGAGTCGGCTGTGGCTTATGTGAGCCGCCATTCCCTGATCCGCAAAAAAGGCCTCTGCTCAAGAATGAAAAGACAACCCAATTAAAAAAATGGACAAGGGATCAGGATAGATTATTTTTTTTCTGAAGAAGATCTACAAATGACCAATAATCACACACACAAAAAAAACGCTCAACACCAGTAGTCACCAGGCAAATGCAAATCAAGGCCACAATGATCCACCACTTTGCACCCACAGTGTTGACACACCCACGTGTCATCGGGGATGTGGAAAAATTGGAACCTTCATCCATTGCTGGTAGGAGTATAAAAGGATGCAGCCACTTTGTAAAACAGCCTGGCCGTCAAACGGTTAAACATAGAATGGTCACCATATGATCCAGCAGTTCCACGTCTAGGTATAAACCCAAGAGAAAGGAAAACGTATGTCCACATAAAAAAACTTGTACATAAATGTTCACTGTATTATTTACAATAGCCAGAAGGTGGGAAGAAACCCCAAGTGTCCATTGGCTGGCAAATAATAGACCAATACGACAAGAAACATACATACAGTGGAATACCATTCATAGAAGAATATTCAAAAAGAAATAAGGTACTGGGGCACCTGGGTGGCTTAGTCAGTTTAATGTCTGACTCTTAATTTTAGCTCAGCTCGTGATCTCAGGGTTGTGGGATTGAGCCTCACATCAGGCTCTGTGCCAAACGTGGAGGCTGCTTGAGATTCTCTCTCCTTTTCCCTCTGCTGCTCTCCCTGCTTGCTCATGCTTTCTCTCTCTCAAAAGAGAGAGAGAGAGAGAGAGAGAGAGAGAGAGAGAGAGAGAGAGAGAGAGACATCTGGGTGGTTCAGTGGTTGAGTGTCTGCCTTTGGCCCAGGTCATGATCCCAGAGTCCCTGGATCAAGTCCTGTGCCCTCTTCTCCCTCTGCCTATGTCTCTACCTCTTAAGATCTTTTTTTTTTTTTAATAGATTTTATTTATTTTTTCATGAGAGACACACAGAGAGAGGCAGAGACACAGGCAGGGGGAGAAACAGGCTCCTCACAGGGAACCCGATGTGGGACTTGATACCCGGACCTGGGATCATGCCCTGAGCTGAAGGCTCAGCCGCTGGCCACCCAGGTGTCCCATACCTCTTAAGATTTAAATAGATGAAATCTTAAAAGAAAGAAAGAAAGAAAGAAAGAAAGAAAGAAAGAAAGAAAGAAAGAAAGAAAGAAACAGTACTGATCTACCCTACAATACGGATGAACCTCAGAAACATGATGCTGGGTGACAGAAGGCAGTCACAAAGGACCACATATTGCATGATTCCATTTATATAAAATGCCCCAAATAGGCCAGTCTATATAGAGACAGAGAGTAGTAGAAGGATGTGGTCTGAGTTAAACAGAGCCCAGTTGGTGCTGTGGTGTGGGAGGAATCCAGAGTGAGGAAAAGAAGGGGCAGCTACAGGGAGGGGCAGGAGAGTTCTAGGCTGCCTAGAAGGGGGAACCAGATTGAGCCCACAGAGGGCTAAGTTGAGCCGAGGCAAGAGCAGGGTGGGTGGCCCAGGAAATCGTCATACCTCCAGTTGACAGACCAGGAGATTTACAATAGCAAAGCTAAGAGTCTTGTTGAGTGTCTGCTCTGTGCCAGGCACACCAACCTCCAGAAAGATCTCAGCAATATCCTCAATTACTGGAAGAGGAAGCAGGGACTTGGAGGTCAAGGAGCATGCCCAAGGTTACAGAGTGAGGATTGGGCATGGGACAGTCTGACTGCAGCCTCAGACAAGGCCTGTGACCTTTCCCTGACACTCCCTTCTGAGGAAGGTGCCTCTTCTCAGCAGGAAGTCCTGTGCAACTAGGGCCATCTTCCCATCTTCATCAACTAAAGGGGATCATGGGCCATTTGTGGTTAAACTTCTCTGATGCCCCTTGACTCCTCCCACTACCCCAACCAAAGGAACCCACTCTTTGGTCTCACACCAGTGTCCCCTTGGGACTTCCCTAGATCCAGTAACGCTCCTGTGATCTCCCCTTATTAGCCTGACAAACCCAAACTAGGCTACCACCAAGAGGCCCAGCGCCTTTGAGCACAGGCAGCTTTCTCAGCTGCCCCAGACTGCTCCTGCCTCTGTGCCTCTATCTGGAATCACTCCTGCTCTCACGTACCTACCTTGTTCACTGGGCAAGTCCTGCTCAGCCTTGCAGGCCTTGCTCAATGCCACCTCCTTGGTGAAGCCCTTCCCTAATGTGTCCATGCAGTTTGAGGCCACCTTCATGTCCAGCACTTTCTTTTGTTAGGACACCCATTACTGCCTGCTGGGTCTGAGTTGGCTTGTCTGTGAGCTCCCAAAGGTGGAGATGGGGGATCCTCTGTCCACCTCTGGGTTCCCTGTCTCAAATGGTATCTGGCCCCAGCAGGGGCTCAGAAATGCTTTCAGTGGATGGATAAATGAATGAAGGGTTGGGTGGGATGCCTTGCATTGCACTGTAGTGATTCCTCATCTATGTTTGCAAATCTATGTTTTTTTCTCTCCTGCCCTGCCCCTCAACTCCCTGTCCCACTCTGGGCCCCGATGGACTATATATGTTTTACTTATTGTCTCCCTTACCAGAATGAAACCTAGTGAAGGCAGGGGTTTTGTTTTCTGCTGCATTGAGCACATAGTAGGTGCATAATAGATGTTTTGAATGATTTTCCCCAGTGCTCCTAGAAGGGAAAAGGGTCATGCATCTTAGTTTCTCCCCATGAAGGGATGGTTGGGCATGTGGCTCATCTCTGGGGCCCTCCATTCCACTCGGGAGAGTCTCCCTGGAGGGCCCACTCTAGAGCAGGTGTCTGGTAAATGGTGGGATGTGCGGATTCCAACCCAGCACTGTCCATAGGCCATGACTGGGCTGGGGACCAGAAAGAGCTTGCCTCAACCCAGGGACGCCCAAGCGTTGGTGCAGGCCACAAGCAAAGGCCTTGGGGCCACCGCATAAAGGCTTCTCTGGTGTCCCCTTAGGGTTTCTGGGACTTAAAGCCTCCTGGCCCCTGCTGAGAGAAGTTCATGGGCCTTAAGGATTAGGGTGAGTTTGCTGGATAGACTTGGGATCCTGTCCTTTTGCTTCTTCCACGGAGCCTATGGTTTGTGATGAGAAGACATAAGGAATCTCTCCCAGTGGTAAAAGGGACTCGCACTTACAGAGCAGTTATAAAAATACTAGTTAACAGTGTTTGAGGACTCAGTACGTGCCTGGCTCTAAGTGTATTACATGCATTAACTCAGGGAATCCTTACAGCAACAACACTATCGACTAGGTTTATTATTGTTACGTCTCCCGGCTACAGAGGGAAGAACCAAGGCCCAGAGAGGTTGGGCTTCAAGGCTGCACACCTGGTGGGCAGCAGAGTCAGGCAGGGTCACACCTGGGCTGGCCGGTCCGGGCTCCTACCCATCACTTCCTGCTTTGCTAGGAGGAACCCACAGTGCAGGGGAGAGGCCGTGCTGGAAAAGATGAATGGTCCAGCCCTTCCTCCGTTTTGCTACAGCCTCCAGGTGGTCTTTGTTAAGGATGGAGAAGGTGTTGGAAGAGAGGTCAGGAAGGCAGGGGATTCCTCCTTAGCAGAGCTGGTGCCCTGGGCTGCAGCACCGAACCAGGGTGGGTAGCTGTCTAACCATGGGCAGGTGGCTTTATGTCGCTGAGCCTTGGCTTCCTCATCTGTATAAAGAGGCTGCTATCTCCCCCTTTTCCAGATTAAGTGATGCAACATACATGAATTGGCATCCAGTCGGTGCTCAGGAAATCTTGGTTATCTTTTCCCCTCCTACCTGGCCTGGTAACTAGTTATGTATGGAGTTCCTACTAGAATCACGTAGCAGTCCTCTTCTTGGGACCCAGTGATCATAAGGATGCAGCAACATGTTGGGATCATCTGTGTGCCTAGCTGGGTCTGAGCTCCTTAGAGCAAACTGTAACTCATCTCAGCCACCTTTGTGGAGCATTTATTCAGAGGTGAACACTGTCTGCAGGGAGCCCTGACAAGACCCTCCCCAGACCCTCCCTCTTCGGGTTTAGCTTCATGGGCCACAGAGGCAGGGGGAAGGGCCCAGGGAAGGAGGCCACCCAGACTGGGTGGGATAATTGGGAGGTTCTTGTGAGGGTGTAGGGGGGGTGACTGCCTCCTTTTCCCTCCTCTGAGCTCACTCCACTCTCAGGAGGATAGGGTGCACCCAGGAGTTCCTGGTTCTGGAATAGTCAGGGTTGGGGGCAGGGAGGATGGTGTGTGCCGCTGGAATCTGGGGATTCTTTCCCTTCCTCTCCCTCTCCCCCCACCCTCTCTCTTCCCACCCAAGCTCCCTGGCTTTCTCTTGGAGATGATAGAGGAGCTCCTTCCCACTCCCTCAGGTCAGGAGAAAATGAATAAAGGGGTGTGTCTGGGCAGCAGGGGAATAAGTGGGTTATCTCTTTGCTCAAAGGGCAGGGGAAAGACTTGGAGGGAGGCCTGTGGGGGCAAACCTTGGAGCCCCCTTCCGGTGAGGAGGGTCCAGAGAGGCAGGCCGCAGAACATCTCTGAGGAGGGGTGAGGATCAGAACTGGTCTTGTTTCACCACTTGGTCCTTACTCTGTGTCACCAGCAGGGCAGGAATGCCTGTCCCATGTGACCTAGGCCTGCCCCAGGGCCCACCCAGAGGTGCTAGTGTTAGAGATCCTCAATGTGGGAGATCACGTCTCCAGGGAACAATGGGCAGTGTCTAGAGACATTTTGGGTTGTTGTAACTGGGGAACATGGGGGGGCTGCTGGCATCCAGTGGGTAGAGGCCAGCGATGCTGCTAAACATCCTAGGGTGCTCGAGATAGCCCCATGACAAACAGTCCATCCACCCCGAATGTCAAGTGTCCAAGTTGAGAGATACCTACAGTAAGTGAGGGGCCCAGGAGCACCCACAAAGTGAGGCCAATCGCTCTATGCCCTCCCACCACAGGGTCACCTTAGGGAGGCCTCTGACTTGGCTGCCTCTGGGAATGACTCCGCCGGCCTCCCCTGGGGGTCTGGAAGGACCACAGGAGGGGGCTGTGTCCAAGAAAGCTGCAGAACATCAGAGGGCAGACCGAGGCTGTGAAGGTTAAATGTCCTTAGCCCTCTTGCAGCCCACCGTCCCCTGGCCACCACCCAGCCTGAGGAGTCACTTCTCACTGTCCTGCCTCCAAACCCTGCCTGACATCTTGCACATCCAGCCTGCGAAGTCTGAGCAAATTACTCAGCTGGTTGGCAGGGGGACTTCACACACACGCGTGCACACACACACACACACACACACACACACTCCACCACAGCCATCACCAAAAGAATCTCCAGAGCAGGTGACAGACCCGAGCCTGTCAGGTGGGCTAGAGGCAAGGGCAAGCTGAGACAGACAAGGCTGGCTGTGGCAAGGACAGGCAGGTAGCCAGACAACACAGTAAAATGAGGCATGAAGGGCTAGGAAGCTCTCTGGCCCAGGTGTGTATCTGGTCTCCTCTACAGATGGGGAGTCATCCCTGAGGGTGGGGGCTGCAGCCCCCCCCCCCCCCAGATGGAGGCCTATAGATTTGTGGACAGCTGAGTTTCCAAGGCTGGCAGGAGACAATGACGTTGCCTGGACTTCTCAGGGAACTTCTGAAGAGCCAGGACTGGGTTTAGTGCTCTCTTAGGCCTAGGCCTACACTTCCAGGGCCCAGGCAGATGGTGAGGGCCCAAGAAACCAGGATCGGGGGTACCCCTTAGAGCTGAAGCCAGCTGCCCTCCTAGGCTGGGTGAGAGGTGCAGGGCTGAGGCCTTCTGCTGGCTGGGACTGGCTGCTCCCCTCCACTTAGCTCCCACTCCACAGAACACCCGTCTCCCAGTGCTGTCTCTCTCAGGCCTGGAGGTCAGGTCCCAGGCCTGCATACAGAGTCCCATTCCTGTGGCCCTCTTAGGGTCTGGTCTCTTTGGACCAACAGGCTGGCTTTTCTGGGCTGGAGAAAGATTCCCTCTGTTCCCTGAGTTTTATTTCTCTAGTGGCCGCTCTGGCTTCACACAAGCCTTTCTCCCAGGCAGCTGTGATAGTGGGGTGACTGGTCCCTCTCCTCTCCCCGACTCCAACGTCTCAGTGGAGATAGGGGGAAGGGCTCCTGTGAGTCTGGCCATCAGTGGACCATCTGAGGAAGAGGCCCATCTGCTCCTAGGGGGCATCCAGTCTGATGGAGGAGTCACCCTCCAGGGGGCACAGCCCCTTCCCTGAGGGGAGGCCCTGGTCTGCAGAGGTACAGTAGTATAAGGCCCATCTTCGCCTACCTGGGGAGTACAGCATGTTGGTGGCTAGCGTGGTGCTTGACAGTTGAAGGTTCTGGCAGGGAGGGGGAGGAGAACCCCCACCCCCACCCAGAACTCTCCAATTACAGCAGGAGTCCTAAGGCAGTGGCACGATTTTTTTTTAAAAGATTTTATTTATTTATTTATGAGAGACACAGAGAGAAAGAGAGAGAGAGAGAGAGAGAGAGAGACATAGGCAGAGGGAGGAGCAGGCTCCATTCAGGGAGCCTGATGTGGGACTTGATCCTGGGACCCCAGGATCATGCCCTGGGCCAAAGGCAGGCACTAAACCGCTGAGCCACCCAGGCGTCAGTGGCACATTTTAATACCTGCCTTCCTCTTCTGTCCTCTTTCCTACTTCCCACACACGCTGGCACAGTCAGTAACCTGGTCGCTTTTGATCTTCCTGGTCCCCACCCACCAGCCCAAGGGCCATCTCCGTGCAGGGGGCAGGAGTTCCAGCAGCCCTACCCAAGGGCACCTCTACCAGACTTGGCTGTTCTCATTGTACTGTCCAATCAGGATGAGTCTGAGTCTCTCCCCTTCAGCCCACAGCTTCCAGGAAGGGGTTTTCCCTGACACCCCAACTTGACCTTTTTATCTTGAAAGCCCCCTCATTTCCAAGAGGCCCCTTCCCACCGACATGGCACTCCTCCTGTATGTCTCTGTGCCTTCCCATGGCGTTCTCTGTGTCTCAACTCTTCTCATACAGACGCCAGTTGTATTGGATTAGGGACTCACCCAATTCCAGCATGACTTCATCTAACTATTTACTCCTGCAGTGACTGTATTTCCAAATAAGGTCACATGCTAAAGTCCTGGGGATTAGGATTTCAACATCTCTCTCAAGGGGACACAACTCAACATTCTGCTTGGCATGCTTAGGCCACTGGCCTGGCTGTCATGTCTATCCAGGGGCAAGCGTGAACTCTTTGACCTGAGAAACTCACCCTATAGTGTTGTGTATGGCCATCGAGGATGAGGACCGTTGGGGTCATTGGGGTGTCCCTCTGCCCAGCCTGCTGGAGTGTTAGCCACAGAACAGCTGCTCAGGCCACTGAGTGGAATCAGAGTCTTGTTCCAAGCCAACTTTGGACAAGTCCTCCCCAACCCCTTTTCTGGGTCTCAACTTCCTCATCTATAAGAACATTAATTATAGTTAATTAAGTTCTTATTATGTGCCAAACACTGGGCTAAGGACTTTACACTTGTTTAAGTCTTAAAACAGCTCAAGGACACGGTATCATTATCCTCATGTAATAGAGGAGAAAGATGAGGGCCAGAGGTGACAAGAAATATATAGTTGGTTTCTTCTCCTGGCTCCTTGGAATTTTTTGAGTGATAATGGCATCTTTTGTTCTAATGAGGCCATTCCTGGAGGACTTCTGGATAGCCTCAGGATGGGGGCTGGTGGCCAGGAAGACCAAGCCATGACTAAAAGTCTAGAACTTTTAACCCAAGGAGAGAACAGGGGCTGGAGATTGAGTTAATAATCAATCATACTCCTGGGTGGGTGGGTGGGGTCTCCTTAAACACTCCTAAATGGGGGGGGGTGTTATTTTTTTATTATTTATTTTTTAAAATATTTTATTTATTTATTCATGAGGGACAGAGAGAGAGAGAGAGAGAGAGAGAGAGAGACAGAAAGAGAGGCAGAGACACAGGCAGAGGGAGAAGCAGGCTCCGTGCAGGGAGCCCGGTGCAGGACTCCATCCCGGGACTCCAGGATCAGGCCCTGGGCTGAAGGCGCGCTAAACCGCTGAGCCACCCGGGCTGCCCAATGGGGGGTTTAGAGAGTTTCTGGGTTGGTGAACCCGTTTATGGGCTAGGAGGGTGGTGCACCCCAACTCCACAGGGACAGAAGCTTGTATGCTTGGGACCTTCCTGATTTCACCCTATGTCCTTCCTCATCCGGCTATTCACCAGTATCCTTTAGCGCATCCTTTTGCAAGAAACAGATGAATGTAAGTAAACGTTTCCCTGAGTTCTCTGAGTTGTAGCAAATCGTAAAACCTGATGGAGGGGCTCATGGGATCCCTGACTGAGAGCTGGTTGGTCAGGAGCACAGGTGACAACGTGGGACTTGTGACTGGCGTCTGAAGTGGGGGCAGTTTGTGGGATGGTGCCCCTGGGGGTTCTGATGCTAACTTTAGGTAAACAGCGTCAGAACTGAATGGAATCGAAGCTCACCCAGGTGGTGCCTGGAGAACCGGAGAAATGGTTGGTGTGGAGAAAGCCTCCTTTCCCTCATTTGGTGTCAGACTGTTTTGTGTATAAGGACAACAGGTTTCCTGTTCAAGAGGTGTGATACAGGGCAGCCCCGGTGGCTCAGCGGTTTAGCGTCGCCTTCGGCCCAGAGTGCGATCCTGGAGTCCTGGGATTGAGTCCCACGTTGGGCTCCCTGCATGGAGCCTGCTTCTCCCTCTGCCTGTGTCTCTGCCTCTCTTTCTATGTCTCTCAGGAATAAAAAAAAAAAAAAAAAAAAAGAGAGGTGTGATACAGCTGATACAGCTGGCCCAACATCACCCAGCTGGTATGTGGCTGAGCTGGGATTTGAACCTAAATCCTCAGTTCTTGTCCATGATCTTCTGTTGGCTGTAAAGGGAGGAAGAGAAATGGACTCTGGGTCTCCCTGTGGCCTCCCTCCTCCTTCTGGGATTCCACCGTGACACCTTGCAATCCTTTCCAGCACTCTGCATGGAGCTGGACACCCAATCCTGGTTCAGGAAATGTTCGTCAGATGAGCAGATTGTAATTCCCTCTTTCTGACCTGGGTTCCGCCTGTGAGGAGGCACCGGGGCAGGGTCTGGGTGGGTGTGGGTGCCCTCCTCTATTCCGGTCTCCCTCCTTGGGGCTGTGCTCGTCCCAGCACCTGTGTTCTGTCTGCTGTTTGGGCATTATCTGGAGTTTCACAACTGGAAACACTTGAACCTGACTTTGTGCTTCATGAGGAGGTTAGGGGAGAAGACCCTATGAGGTGGGATTAGGGGAGACCTTGCCCCAAGAGAGGTGGAGGCATGCCAGGCAGGTGAGGAATTCAGGGGTCTAGGCTGAGGCCTGTCCAGGCCATGCTGTGCAGACAATGTGGCTTGCCAGGCAAAGTGGTGCTGTGTCTGCCCACTCATACAGAAAACAGGCTTTGGGGGTGCTGAGGGGCCTTCATGAACCAGGGTGCTTGGTTCAAGACCTTTCTTGGCTGCTGAAAGCACCCCCTCTAGGACCTACTCTGAATCAATACCACTGGTCACTCCCAAATGACCCAAAACACATCTGGTTTCTTTCTTCCTCGGCCTATGTTCCCAAGAACTGATCGGAGCCCCTGGGACCTTCAGAGGCCAACCCCAGGATGTTTCCCTGGTTGCCTACAGCCCCTGCAGACAACGCAACGCAGCTGGTTCTAACCTGGGCCTTTCACCACTTTGCTGCCCCTTAACCCAGGTCCCCAGCCTTATTTGGCCTTTTGGACTTTTCTGTCTGACCTAATGGTCCCCTCACTGCCCACTCCCCATTCCTAGCCTCAGAGCAGTTGATGGGAGTGTTTCTGATTTAATCCAACGACCCTAGGGAAGGCATTTGGTACCACGCTGACCACTTTGGACTTAATGAGTTCTTTCATTCCTCCTCTTTGGATGTCAACTTTCTTGGCTGAACAGTAAAAAGTTTGAATGGGCAATATGTCTTGATTTGAGGCTTCCATACCATCCTAAGATTTTTCTCATCCTTGTCCTAGCACCCCTAAATCCAAATTGTGGAGCAAGGGATATCACCTCTGTATGTCCTGGGTTCCTCATCTCGAAATTTGGGATAGGGCTTCTATGAGGACTCAGTCAACCCATAGAGGGTGGTAAGAAGGGTGCTGGACCTAGTGGGAGTTCATATCTGTCTCTGGGTTGCCCACTGGGCCCCAGGTACCTAGGATCAGTCTTGCTGCTGTGTCCCTGGTCCCCAGCTCAGGGCCTGGAGCATAGGAGGTGCTCAGAAGGGTTTCATGGAGGGATCAAGGGCCAGACTGCAGTTTGCAGCCTCTGGGGCCTGCTGTGTGTGTGTGTTCCCTGCTCCAAATTTGCAGCCAGTTTCTGCCCACCCACCGGCTGGCACTCTGCTCTCCAGCCCTGAGACTCTGGGGACTCCACTCGGAGGTCCACATTTCATAAGGCCGTGGATCTGTCATACATGTGAAGGCTAAGGCCTGGACCAAGCTGCCCACAGCTGGCCACCAGGGCCACTGTCCTTCCAAACTATGTTAATCAGGTAGGGGGCATCTCTCTGTAGCTTGGGGGTGGGTGAACCTCACACACAGACAGATCCCATTGCACATGCAGCATACACTGCATGTGACCATGTGGCTGAGTGGGCCTCTGGGGAGTGGGCTAGAGTGGACACAGGAAATTTCTTACAGAAGGTAGATTACAGGGGTGCCTGGGTGACTCAGTCAGTTAGGTATCTCCCTTTGGGTCGGATTGAGCCCAGAGTCAGGCTCCCTGCTTGGCGAGGAGTCCGCCTCTCCCTCTGCTCTTGTTCTCTAATAAATAAAATCTTAAAAAAAAAAAAAAAGGTAGATTACAGTAGAGCCTGGGGATGGGTAAGATTTGACTGGGCAGGAGAATTGTCTGGAAGGAGGCTTTTTGGGGAGGTCCTCAGGCACTCCTGAGGGGGAAGGGACAGGTTGGTTGGGGGCCTGGGCTGACTGAGATCCTCAGAAAGGCTTTTCCCAGACTCCTCCCAGGCCAGTAACCTCAGACAAACCCCTAGAGCCTCACTGAGCATCTGTAGAAAAACCATTTTCTGAAGAGAAAACCACACTGCTTTGGAATACTATTAATGGCTACAGCATTAATTATAGTTGGCATTTATTGGGTGTTTTCCCTGGGCCAGGTGCTGGGCCAAGGGGGCACTTGGCATATCCCATCTTATGGAAGACTCACAGCAAACCCATGTCTGACCTGGAGCAGACTCTCTGAGGAGTAAATGCCTTAAAACACATAATACAGTCACTTAGCCTAATTCCAGGCACA